GTATCCACTGTTAGCGTAACACACCCGCATTAAGGACACTGACTGCTATTCAATCTATAACAGTGAAAAAAGTTTTTTGTTTTTAAATGCAAGCTATTATGACACCAATGAGTGGTGGCACTGGGCACGATATCCACTGTTAGCGTAACACACCCGCTTTAAGGACACTGACTGCTATTCAATCTATAACAGTAAAAAAAGTTTTTTGTTTTTAAATCCAAGCTATTGTGACACAGGATCTAATTAGTGGCACTTGTCAGCGTATCCACTGTTAGCGTAACACACCGCTTTAAGGACACTGACTGCTATTCAATCTATAACAGTAAAAAAAGTTTTTTGTTTTTAAATCCAAGCTATTGTGACACCAGATGTAATTGTTGGCACTGACTGGGGAAATGGGCACAGTATGCACTGTGAGCATGACACAGAAGCTGGCAGCAGTGTCGGACAACTGACTGCTATTCAATCTATAACAGTGAAAAAAGTTTTTTGTTTTTAAATCCAAGCTATTGTGACACCAGATGTAATTGGTGGCACTGACTGGGGAAATGGGCACTGTGAGCCTGACACAGAAGCTGGCAGCAGTGGCAGACAACTAAGTGCATTTACATTACATAGAAAAATAAAATTAAAAAAAAGCATACCCTTATCCCTAACCTAGCTATGCTTTTCCCTATCTTATGAACAGCAGCTACACTTTCCCTCCTCTTACTAAGCATGCAGCTTGAGAATGAATCTAAAATGGATGCTGTCCAGTAGGTGGGAGGGTCTGCTAGGGAGGCTGTGCTGCTAATTGGCTGGAATGTGTCTGCTGACTGTGAGGTACAGGGTCAAAGTTTACTCAATGATGGCGAATAGGGGGCGGGTCGAACCGCGCATATGTTCGCACGCCGTGGCGAACGCGAACATGCTATGTTCGCCAGGAACCGTTCGCCGGCGAACCGTTCGGTACATCACTAATGCTCAACAGTATGACATGACTGTCACTATAGTAAGATGTTAGTCTATGTCACACAATATGATTTCCATTCATTCAAACTGCTACCCACATTCAGCTAGACAATTATTTGTGGTGTTATAATTTCTTTGTCAATTAAATACTAACCCTTACCTATAAAGTTCTAAACAACTCTAGCCAAATCCCAGGTGCCAGGGCGCCCCTTAACTCTAAGCCGGGCGGAAAGTTGGGGGATTTTGTAGGAAGACGGCTTTCTGGGTGGTCGTGGAGGCGGTTGGCTAGCTGCGCGAATAGTAAGGCGGCAAGGGAGCTGTGAGGTTTCTGCTCTGCTCCCCCACGCACCGCTTAATGAGACCGGGGTCAGAAAAGGACGTCATATTCCGGCCCCAGTCTCACTAAGCGGTGCACATGGGAGCAGAGCAGAGACTTCACAGCTCCCTTGCCGCCTGCAACAATACGCGCAGCTAGCCAACCGCCTCCACGACCACCCAGCAAGCCGTCTTCCTTCAAAATCCCCCAACTTGCCGCTGGCTGTACGCACAAGCCCCCAGCATGCCGCCCGCCTCCATAATCCTTCAGAATGCCGCTCGCCTGCACGATCCCCAAGCCTGTCGCCCACTGGACCTCATGGGTATTAAAACAAGCAATAATGTGTGAATGTGTCTGTCTGAAATGGTGTGTGTGTGTCTGTCCGTAATGGTGTGTCTGTCTGTCTGTCTGTAATGGAGTGTGTGTGTGTGTCTCTGTGTGTGCGTGTCTTTGTCATGGTGTGTGTGTGTGTCTGTCATTGAAAAGTCTGCAAGGTCAGGCTATAGACACCAGAACCACAACATTAGGCTGTAGTGGTTCTGGTGACTATAGTGTCCCTTTAAGAAATGTATTTTTGTCGTTGAATATAAAGCTTTGTAAGTTTAAAAAAAATCTGGCTCCTAACTTTTTTAGCTGGCTCCTAGATTGAAAGTAAATTTGTCAAGCCCTGCTCTAGCCCCTGTTACATTTATTCACTGGTTCGTAGGTATCCCCCATTTCAGACTCTTCGCTGTGCCGGTGACCTTCTCAGTGACCTTCTGTCTACCTCCATCAAACTCTCCCCTAGTCTTCAATCGTTAAGAAGTTCCTCAAAATCCATCTGTCCAGAAATGCTTATGGACTCCCAGAGTAACTTCTTTGTCACAAATATGTCTCTGGCTCTCTCCTAAAGAGCCACACTCCATTCTCACCTCCTGCTCACCTACTTTTCCACCTTGTTTGCTGTGCCCCTTGATGCCTTTCCTATTGTGTCCTTATCCACTCCTCTGTCAGCTCATCTGAGCAGGGTCCTCATCTACCTATTGTTTCTGTAACATTTTGTAATTGTCTCATTATTGTTAAGTTTCCCCCTTTATAATATTGTAAAGCGCTGTGGAATAAGTTGATGTTATATAAATACCAATAATATTAATAATAATACATGACAGCCTATCATATAAACAATTGCATAAAGGGATTATACAGATAACAGAGTCTCACCCATACATTGTGTTAACCTACTTGTAATTGTATAATCAAAACTATATCCAGTAATGGATGGAAGTCGCATCGTCAAGTAAATATTTATGTGTCTTTAATGCTAAATTCTAGACATCACACACAACATGTGTTTAAACTAGCCAAGTGTGATGTGTGCACCTTAAACAAGCTTCCTTACATTCTGTAGGTTTGTACCTATCTGCAATGTTTAACTACAAACATAACAAGTGATATCTGTTATTTGGCAGCTGTAGCAGTCACATATAGCATGTTTTCTGCAGAATCCTGCTAGACAGGAATTCCAAGTTATTCCATTTTATTTGCATTCATATCCCTAGGAGAGTACAGTACTCCAAAAATAAACAACTCCCCCAAACACTGGTGACAGCAATGAAAATATATTAAATAACAAAAAATTGCATTTCTCAACACGTCAGGCAGTATTTTTCTGTTTTTCTCATTTTCAAGACATTTACCAGAAGTCTGTGAGTCTAAGGGTTCTGCGCAGTATCCAGGGCCGGATTAACATAGGGGCTGATAGAGCTGCAGTTCAAGGCTCATGCCTATGGAATAGGCCCGTTGATTTAGAAAAAGATTTGCACTATAGAATAAATCAGTATTCTGATGAAGACCTGTGAGTGCTCCTTATATATTGATTTTTTGCTATATATATATATATATATATATATATATATATATATATAATGTTTTTCTTTTACTATTCTTCACATGCTGTTGCTTAAAGGATCACTATAGTGTCAGGAAAACAAAGCGGTTTTCCTGACACTATAGTGCCCCGAGGGTGCCCCCACCCTCAGGGTCCCCCTCCTGTGGTGCTGAAGGGGTTAAAACCCCTTCAGCAGCTTACCTTATTCCAGCACCTGCGCTGGTAACCTCTCCTCCCCTGCCGACGTCAGCATCTCAAAGCTTTCCTATGGACGCTCTGCATGATGGAGGCATAATATGCCTCCAGCGTCGCAGATGCGCCTCTAGTGGCTGTCCGGAAGGCAGCCACTAGAGGCTGGATTAACCCTGCTATGTAAACATAGCAGATTCTCTGGAACTGCTAAGTTTGCATCTGAAGGGTTAAAACCTGAGGGACCTGGCACACAGACCACTTCATTGAGCTGAGTAGTCTGGGTGACTATAGTGTCCCTTTAAGTATGGAAACTTAAGATGGATGTAGGGGAACAAAACTGGTTCGGAGAGGAGTGGACCAGTGAGTGCTAAGGGACAGTCCTTAGCAAGCGTGAAGCTAGCGCATCATTAGAAACATTTATGCCAAGCTCAGGGTGATGTCTGCACAGTATACCCTTGGCTGGTCATCCTGCATTATTGTCAGGCAGCCTGACATGCATTCACACAAGGCTGACCATCTAATTCTTTGTGAAGACATGTCCCCTTTTTGAGCATGTTTTTCCCTTCTGGTCAGTCCTGGTTATATGATTCACATCAGTGGCCCACCTTTTTACACCACCCAACAATATCCTGGTTTACCAGACACTGCTGTTAGGGGGTAGGATTTACTTAAAAGATGAAAGCAACAGATTAACATAGGATATGTGTTTTCTGATAGCTATAACCTGTGAGTTTCCCTCCAGCACCACCTCCACCAGATATATGATGCCTGGGAGGTATAACTGTTTTAGTATTTTCTGTCCATAAGATTCTGTAATTAGGCCCATCATAATTGTCCCTTTTCTATTCATTTTATTCTGACATTTAAATGTCCACTGTTACAGTTACTTTTTCTTTCAGTGTTATTTTGTGTTTAGTCTTCTGTTTATGTAGCATGGTATTACTACAAGTGAGCCGTGCTACCAGACTTGTACATGCATTAATCGTGTTTTACTGTATTTCTGGTTATATTGTGAAAGTCAATAAAATATTTGTTTAAAAAAAATAAAAGAATAATGTCTAGGAGAGCAAATGAGACAGTAGGGAAAATAACTTTCTGTATATATGGCATGCTCCAAAATGTGAGAAACACACATACAAGCTATAATGCACAAGGGAGCTATTGTACATTAGTATATATATAGATTTATTTAAATATAAAAAGTCTATGTGCCATTAACGTGACTAAACCTGAATATTTTTAGACATACTCTCACATACCGGTAGCTTAAAGCCCAAAAGGAGCCCATTTTTTTGCAGAAATTCTTTTTTCTTGAATGGAACAGACAGAGATTCTACCTTCAGAATTCTCCAAAATATTTTAATGTAATATATTTACTGACAAGGCATTGTATAACGCGTCCAAAGTGGCATTTTACACATTTTTTAACAAGTCAAAAATTGTTCTCTGACAATAATCTGTTGTCAATGGCAATTCAAGAAACTTTAATGAATATGTTTATATTAATAGTTCTATTAAAAAGAGATTCAGTAAGCCCCGATAATGAAGTAGAACATGCACATGAATAGATGTACTTACATGTCACATATATTCGATGTTAATGGAGCAAGAGGCGCAAGCTGTTTTAAAAGTCGGACACCCATGTTCCACCCTTTTTCTTTTCCAAACTCACACACTGCCTCAGGGCAATCAGAAGACGAAAACTGGTAGAACACATACGCATCCTGAAAGCATAGCTGCTTGTCCACTGCAGTGGGAGTAAAAAAAGAATATCAGTTTTTTTTTTTTTTATGTAAATGCCATATTTTCTCATCCAAATGTGAGCAATATCTATAATTTCAAATTACACATTGATTATTTGGATTGCTCTTAGAGAACTACAATTCAAGAGCGGCTGCATCTAATACATACTATATATTGTTGTGTTGAAGCACCTTTTTATGACATATTTCCATTTATTTTCTTTGGTTTTTCAATAACTATTATGTCGCATATGATACGGAACAAAATAACTGTAGAGCAGGAATCAAACCTACTGGCTACCCAGATATTAATGGCCTACATCAAGTGTAATTCTTTAAATGCAAAAGATGAAAAGAGAATCATGGGAGTTGCATTTTAGCAAAATTGGGTGTGGGGAGTTGCAGAATTTTCATATGCCTGCCCTTTTTGTAGCCAAAATCATATTAAACAGCGTTTTGGATGTATATTTATTATATGCGTTACCTAATGCTTATAATTAGGGTTGTCATATCCGCCATGTTTTTCTGGACACATATAATTTCATTGTGTTGATTGGCGGCACATGAAAATACTGCCCTGAGTTCTGGATAATGTATATGCTGAAGGATTCTGGATTGATTCATCACCTGATTAACTACCTGCAATATTTGACTTCTACATACTGTAGGGCAGCACTTTCTGTATGTTGCTCATCAATGTGTCCCAACTTGTAATGCGTCCTATAATATACCTGCAAAGTAAATATGACCTGGTGGCATTATTTGAAGCAGTTATCAATATTTGGTACTCCAAGTGTCGCTGGATTAGGTATCCCATAACTCACCAGCTGGACACCCTGGTACTGTGTATTAATATCTTTCTTATGCATACCAAATAGATTCTATATCCCTTGTAGCCTGTAAGAGGTTCTTCAAACAGATGTATTTTTTTCTCAAAGGTGTATATTAAAAGGGAGTCTGTGCAAACTCGCACAATGACAAGTGCAGTATCCTAGAATGGTTGTAATTAACACATTTTAGCCAGTATCTCAGGAAAGAACTCTTTTATAAGGAATCCAACAATGAAAAATCGTTAGAACAATCAAATCCATCAGTTTAGATTAATTATCATAAGTTCCTATGCAAATAGTCAGGTTGCAATTTGTCTTAGCTATTTAAATATTGGATTTCTCATAGAAAAGAGACTTTCTGGGTTATTCAATAAAGTCCAAATGGCCCCAATGCAAATGGGATAAAACCATCTGTCTGCATAGTACATGCTCTGATATTTTGTCAAGTGTGTCAGCCACCAAAATTGACTTTTATTTTGTTTATTTGTGAATTTTATTATTACTTTACATTTTTTCAAATCAAAACAAAAAATAGCTATTCCATTTTTACAAATTGCAACCATCACATTGAATTGTCTAGCAGTCTGAATTCTAATAGGTTTACATGAAAACACAGGTTGAGGAATATCATATGAATTGAGAAATATGCCAAGTACATACAAGCTCTGCAAAAGATTAGCTGAGGAATTCAGGAAATAATAACATTTATACTGCTCCTGTATATAAAGAAGGCACGCATAGGCATCCATCATACATTTAGGCGATTGCTTTAATACAGTATGTTTTTATAAAATTTCATGGACTGCTACCATATAACCATCAAGCACAAATATAATTGCAAGCGGAATTATTTCAGTCTCAATAAAGAATTAGAACTCTCTGGACATTAAAACAGAGATAAGTCAATACCTGATCTCCACCAGACTACATAAACACATGTGAACTCACACTAGACCAGGTGTGCCCAAAAGGTAGACCTTAGATGTTATAAAACTACAGATTCCATGATGCTTTGTCATTCTAAAGACATGCAAAGCATCATGGGAGTTGTAGTCCTGCAACATCTGAGGATCTTCCTATTGGGCACCCCGGCCCAAGACACCATGTTTTGTGCTGTTGAAGGTTTATGGCAGTTGTAGTCCATTAACAGCTGAATATTCTGTATTTGTCTGCCCTTACTTTTATACAAAGCTGACCTTACATTCACTGACACCATGTTGCTCAACTTTCAGAAAAAGAAAAAAAAAATGTTTAACAGTTTGCACACATTCGAACTTCCTGGAAGTAAACTAACCTGAAAGGAGTATCCCAAGTTTCAATAAAGTTTGCCAGATGCCAGCTGCTGTATATCTGCACTGAACAAAGGGGCACTGCTGCAAAAGCCAGTCAACCAGTTCGGACCCCACACAACTTTTTCTTTAAATCCATAAGAAAAAGTAAAAAAGAAATGAGAGAAATCATTAAAATTGCTGGAAAGATGTTACATATTTGCCATTCAATATTTATTTCTAATTATCATTTATGTTGCACCAACAAATTCTGCCGCAATTAATACAATACTAAAAGCAATCAAAATTAATTCTTTGTTTGAAAGACATGAAGAAACCGGTATTATTGGTATTGAGAGCCCTGCCTACAAGATTAAAATCTAAATTAAAGTATTTCTTGAGCAATATTAGGCTGATGAACAGAATAGCACATTGCACAATATATAATAAGTTGCAATATTGAACAATATCAGATGGATCAGTTACCGCTTGCAGGCAGGGTGGCCATCATATCGCGACAGTCAATACTCCTATTTAATGCCTGGCTGTTCCTTGGGGCCCACTAGGGCTATGCAGTTTAGTTGGGGAGGTATACCTATTGACAGCCCCCATTGCGCTCTTGCGCAGCAGTGCTAGGAGGAAGAGATGTCACATCACTTCCTTCCAGTGCAAAAGGAAGCCACTAAAGTTAACACTAAAGTTAACAAAGACGAGGGTAGCTAAAACAGAGCCTCATATATGTGTGTGTGTGGCAAACTTTATTTGTATAATGCAGCGTGTGTGTCTTTATCTATGTGTGTTGAATTGTGCATCTGTTTGGCAGTATATGCTTGTGTATTTGTATTATGTGGGTGTCAGCATGTATTTGTGTAGCAGTGTATATGTTTGTGCACTTATGTGTGTTATATGTGGCAGTGTGTAAATCTGTCTATATGGCTGTGTGTATAAGTTTTTCTGTGTGCATCTGTGTGTGTCAGTATGCATATATGTCAAAGTGTGTACATTCATGTGCACTTGTGTGTGTGTGTGTGGCTGTGTGTATTAGTGCATGTGCGGTATGTATATGTGTAATTGTGTGATAATGCTACTCCCACCTATCTATCCTCCTTAATACACAAGTATGTCCGCCTGGGTCCCTATGCTCTGCCAAAGACCTACGTCTATCCTCTGTCCGTACTCCCACCTCAGATGCTCGCCTTTAAGACTTTTCTAGGGCTGCACTGTTCCTGTGGAACTCCCTTCCCCTTTCCGTTAGACATTCACCCTGTCTCCACTCCTTCAAAAAATCATTAAAAACTCAGTTTTTCACAAAAGCATATCAATTAAACTGTTAATGGCTCCCAACTGATTCCTCTCCTGCAACGGTCATTTAAAAAATAGAAATAAGTTTCTTTTTAAAATCTCCCTCTAGCATGTAAGCTCATTGAGCAGGGCCCTCAACCCCTCTGTTTCTGTGCGTCAAACTTGTCTGGTTTTAATTTCATGTTTGTTAGTCCACCCGTTGTAAATCACTATGGAATTTGTTGGCGCTATATAAAAATAATAATAATAATAATAATGTGTGCGTGCACGTTTGTTTCTGCTAGTGTGCATTTTGGGAGCTTGGCCAATTGTTTAGCAAGGAGTCCATAAAGTATGGTTTATTTGTTTAGCAAGGAGCCCATAGAGTCCATGCTGAGAGGGATACTCTATAAACCCTTTAATCATCAAGGGTGAATTAATATTATATTGTCTCCACTTCCTTTAATAATATTGTACATTATTCCCATGAGACTGAACACAAGAAGCGCAACATAACAACAATGCATGAAATGACTTACCTGCAGATACAAGTGAGATACATGCGATCCCGAATCAGATCAGGAGCTTGACTTCTCAATGCATTTCTTAAAGCTCGCCCCGCACATGCAACACTTTCTCCATAAAACTGCATGGAAAAATAAAAAATATATATTTTTAGGTTGTGCTGACCACCTGTAAACCTCCCTTTGACCAGTTCACCTTGACTTGAAATGTAGGAAGGAACTGGGAAATTAATTGTTTTCATTATTTGTTTTGATATTTTCAATGCATTATACAATGACTAAAAAAATCTGTCGCTAAGATAGAACCATAGTCGAAGTTGATACAATGTTGGCTAATGATGGCACGTGTAGTCAGAGTCTGAGTCAAAGAGGCCTAAACATTTCAATCAGATAATGAGGGCCCTGCCTGTCTTGATTATTTCAGGCAGAAGATATCTGGGGAAAAAATAAAATGTTATTTCCAAAACTAAAATTCAACCAAAGAGCTTCCATGTTAATTCTATGGGAATTAAAGGTACACTCTTAACACCAAAACTACTTCATTTTAATTAACTGGTTTTTGGTGCATAGTAAAACCAGAAATCTTTTCGTCCATCTGTATGTCAGCAGAATGTTGGTTTGGCTCTGGAGAATTACGGTACCACAAATAATCGATTTGTAAACAAAATCAGGCAAGCAAAAGTGGCTAAAAAATGGGCCAGTCAGTGTACAGCAGAATAACACATACTATAATTTTATGCATATATTTTGCAGTATAATAATAGGAGCATTTTCCCACCATTGTGTTCATGAAAGTGAGAAAAAGTAAACATTGAAGAAAAAACAGTAGGGGCAGTAAATTTTTTTTTACAAATTTATATAAAACAAAATAATTTATTATAATATAGATATTTACAGTCATCCCTTTTTTTTCCTCAATTGCTTAGTTTTCACTTGATCAGTGAATAAAATAAATGTTTGGTGACTGTTCCCTAGCCAACAACCATTTTTGGCACCACAGCCGACATTCAGAATCACACACTGAAATGAACATGCTGAGCCCTTATGCATTTCGGTTGGTTTGTGATTCGGATAAATTTTTGGCTTAGATTTTGAGAATTCAACCGATCACCCAATTGACCCAAAATCAGATGAACTGCAGTTTGGACAGAGACAAGTCTCCAAGGGGGGCGGGGCATGACCTCGGATCGGAGCAGTCGCCAAATACCCACTAAACCAAGCGACTATTGACCCAAAGCCAACTACCAGGTGCTGGGGGACAGCAAGCCCTACCTATCGATGCCAAACATGCAGACTTTCTTGCTAGTTCCGTCCACGCGACCTCTGCAGCCTACAAGCCTGGCTGGAATGGGAGAGACGGCTCAGAGATCTTCGGTGGGACACCAATTCCACCCCTATGGACCGGCGGGGGTTATCCTGGTCCCCACCGATCAGACCCACGCTCACTCTCAGACTCTTACTGCCCACTATAATCCACAAGCAGCACAAGGTGGGCCTAGTAACTAGGCCTCACCACGATCAGCGCCTATACATGCCGATCCTGGCAGTGAGATCAATGAGCGCTCCCTCTGACTCCTGGACAGCGATTTTGGGAATGGCTGGAACAGCATATGACACCGCAGTCACCATGGCCTGTGAGGGAGGTGAGGAAGGCTGGTGATAGAGGGCCAAGCGTGCCTCACTTGGGCAGAATCCAGCTCGACACACACACCACCCAAGCTGTCTGCCTACCTAGGCTGAAGGCCATGTGGAGTATACTTCCACAGCATTGCCCACGACGCCGGAAGACCGCCCGCCACAGGCGGCGGCATAACATCGGGGCCTTCCGCAGCGCCTGCAAAGGGAAAGACCCGGCAGCACAGCGTACCCGGGTCTGTGGACCACAGATGCGGCGCTTCAAACAGGCCTGGGCTGGAGTGGGGACTCCCACGGCCCACGCATCACCACTGCCATCTGTATTCTCCATCCCCCTGCGGTTTCACTGCCTAGTCTAGGCATTGGTTGACTGTGGACACTAAGCGGACATTTCCAGCTGCTACCTCTCTTACACAACCTCATTGCAGCAATCGAAAATTGTTTTGACACACCTGCGGACATTCTATGGTTTTTTTTCTCGTATTATCTCTGCCATACAGCTGGAATGCACTCACAGAGCACTAAATAGAAGGAGAGGGGGACAGCATGCTGGATCTCAGTGATCCATTTAACTAACATGATCCTGGCTTATTATACCAACACTTTTCACACCAAATGTTATAGATGTGCGACATACTAAGCAGTGTCTCCCCACCCACCATACCCACACAATAAGCTGATAACACCCCAGATAGTGCCGCTAGTACAGAGCAACCCAGGGAGCACCCTCAGCATAATACTTATCCAACAGGCAGCAATGGCATAACAGATCGTGGGGATTTACTGAGGCTTGGTCTTGGTGGAATTTATTAATCTCAGTGCACTGAGTTAGATAGGCATGATAGTCTCCTCGTACACAGGCCCTATTCAACGTATGTTGGTCGTTTAACCCTTGATAAGTCATGTACTAACGCCTGACCACAGATGTCTAACAAGTTATTTTTAGTAAGTCTTAAGCACACAGTTCTATCTAGCTTGATTTGTTGTGTTTACTTAATAGAACCATCTCACTAGTCTGTCTAGCATTTAATGCACCTGTTTATTCATGTTTCCATTACTTGCATAGTCCACCGGTATAGCCTGATTTTTTATTACATATCGTTTGTCTCATCAATGACTATTCATCCTTCACCCAATCATATAACAGAAAAATGTGCAGTTTATTTGAAAGCCATGTCAATTATTCTCTTGTCTGGTTATAATTTGCTTGTTACTGCTGTTGTGGTTTGGCAAGCTTGTTGTTACTCCATGCATGACAAAAATAAAGATGGACAAAAAAATTAAATAAAAAAAAGAAACAAGTCTCCAAGTCTAGTGCATAAATGCTATATAGCAAGGTTGGTGCCAGGAGCCGCACTCAATCCAAGCGGCCACGGGTGCTCTGAAGCAGGACCAGCAATCCCAATTTTGTTTGCCTAGTGCATAGATGCTGTCCTTTTTATCTTACGGTGTAAAACATTGCTGTTTCTGATAAATGGCAAAAATGCCTTTGGTTGCTGTCATCCACAAATTCAGTAGATGGCTTAATCCTTCAAGATCTTCGATTTTCAATTGTCTTTACAGTCGGAAGTGTCGTGCACAATATTAAGAAGCTAAATGTAGCAAATGTTTCTCATAGAGAAGCAATGGATTCAATACTTCTCTGTGAAGCATTGAATTGGACACAATGCTTCTATATGAAATTCATTGGATTGGGCCAGAGATTCATGACTACATCATGGAAGTATCAGTTGGCAGAGAGAGGACTATGTTATCAGATTGCAGATTTTCTTTAAAACATTTTTAAAGGGACTGCACATGATCAAAAACAAAAACAAACAAACAAAACACAATGAACTTAAAATGTATAAACGTATATAAATATGCACAGATTTTACATTATTTGCAAATTAAAGCACATACAGCATGTTTAACATTCCATTATGCGTTTTGAAAACATGATAAACGTAAATTTGTATTTGTTTACATTTACGAAATATGCACATTTGCTGTGTGGGCGAAGCGATTCACCACAGTTCTCAGTATTTATACTTTTACATGCACATTCCTGTAAATGTTGTCATGATTTTTTAGAGTATATGCTGGATAAAAAATAAATGCATATAAAAAAAAACAAAAAAACTGAAAGATAATAAATTACCTTTGGTGCTGAGCTTTCACCGTACAGATTTGAAATTCTTTCTGTTGTGATCTGTATATAAAAAAACAATGAATAATTATTTTCACATTACCATAACAGGAACTGGCATTAAAGATTTTCTGTCAAATCTCTTTCCACAAAACCAAAAGATATTTCATGAATACCAGTCAAGAAGAAAGTCTCTTTAACCTCAATATTCTGCTAACACTTCACACCTGAATAATTAGATGTGCCCTGACATCCTTTACACCTTCCTTCTCACAAACCTTGTGTATAAATTATATGCATAGCCTTCAAATATACTTGTGAACCAAGATTTATTAAAACACTCGAAAAATAAAGGCCTTTTACTCTATTGGAACATTTTGTAGAAAATATACAAGATGATCTAATGGTGCTTACAGGCAACTATCTGTCACTTTTGGACCATACATAATACTTATAGCTGAGCAGTCCCCTCCAGTGTATTAATGCATATATACATATTAAAATAATGGCATCAAATATATATTTCATACAGAATGTTTATGCAGCCTTATGCTTTGTCCAGACGAAAGGTGCTGTGAGATAACTGGCACTTTGGACCAGATGCTAATTTAACCTGCTTATCCTCCAAAATGAAGTTTTGAGGGTATGAATGGTGCTGTAGCTCAAATGAAAGCTATATTGATCCCTTTTCCTATATCTTCCCACTACAGTAGCTGCTGCAGTGGTAATGGTGCCAGGAGGCAGAGGTCACATACTCCAGATTTCTATAATTTTCTTGCCAAAAAGCAAGTGAATTATAATGGCCGAATGGGCATCCAACCTGGATAGATTTGATCATCATATTCTTTACAACCAGTGCTTTGTAAATGTCCAGATCCTAAAGTTTATATAGGATTCAGATGCGAAAAGTAGTGATTTTTAAAGGACACTATAGTAACCAGAACCACTACAGCTTAATATACTGGTTATGGTGTCTATAGCCATTAGCTGCAGGGTTTTTAATGTAAACACTGCCTTTTCATAGATGTTTTACATTTTACAATGTTTTACATTACTGCCTAGGAACACCTCTAGTGACAGTCACTCAGACGGCCACTAGAGGTGTGTTGTGTGTCAGTGCTGCACAGTGTAGACTCTACCCTGGCGTTCAATGTCTCCACATTCTGCATGAAGGCGCTTAACACTCCCCACAGAGATGCATTGATAAAAGGTAAAGCATTGGATTGGCTGAGATCATCAAGTCTGATTGGCTGAGATCATCAAGTCTGATGAGCTGAGCCATGGAGACGAGATGGGAACAGCTAGCGTGGGAGAAAAGGTCAGCTATTGGTGATTTAATTAAACACTGTAGTGTCAGGAATAGTGGAATAGTGTTCCTGACAATATAGTGTTTCTTTAAAGCAGCTAACGAATGTTGCCGATTTGGTCAGAATTACTTGATTTGGCTTTAGTTAATATATGAATAGCCATTCTGATCGGAATCCAGTAATTTTCACGAAATTTTTTTCAGTCTGACAAAATTCAGTGTTTAGTGACTAAGCTCACATGGCTGCATGCTTTTATGCATTGAGTTGCTGCTTCGTGTATACGTGTTCTTATTAAAGTGGCACTGTCATGGCCGCATCCGTGTTTTTTTTAACCCCACTCTTGATTCCACCACCTCTAATTGCCCTTCTAGTCACCCCAAATGCCCCTAAACCCCCAATATTACCTCTTTTTTCATCTTTATTTTGTGCCAGGACCAAGGTCCTGGGCGCCGCTATCTTTCTGTGGGCAGATGAAGGCTCTGTGGGACACGTCATCTTCCCACACTAGATAGCACTGTGATATTCCTGCACATGCTCAGTTATACACTTGGGGATTCGTTGTTGTCCGAAATTCGGACAGGAATTTCGTCTAATTGTTCGTCAGAAAGAATGAATGAATGAATGAATGAAAATGTCAGACGAAGAAACAAACACCGAATCTCTGTGTTCGTTTGATCAGTTTATTACAAGGACGGAGCTACCGGCGCGTAGTTCCCTTCTTGTAATATGTAAAAATAGAAGCAGCAGGGAGCAGCCCTCCATGTCCTCCCTCACTCTATGGGGGTCAATATGACCCCCATAGTAGCAAAAGAGATTAAAATCTCCTGAATGCCCCTACTCGCTATGCTGTAGGTATTTAGTTTTATTGTTCCCCCTTATTTTTAGGGTAAGGGGGTAGGTAGGGCTTTATTTAAAAAAAAAAATTGGGGGGGGGGGGGCGACTAGAGGCTTGGGGACCCCAAGTCACATGGTAGGTGTTTTTTTCATTTAGCCCCCATCCGTCGTCCATGGGTGGAGGGAAAACAATAGGACCCCCATTGTCTTTTAGGGCCCCCACACGCCGCACATGGGTGGGGGCCGTGGTGGGGGGGAAGAATAGGCCCCCCCCATTGTCTTTTACAGAGCCTCAGCCACTGCTAATGGGTGGGGCCCTTTTACCGGGCCCCATCCGCCGCCACAGGCTGCTCACTGTTTAGTAGACTTCCCCCTACTCGCGACATAGCGAGTAGGGGGAGATTAATTACTAATACTAAGTAATCTTTATTTAGTATTAGTAAAGTTGGCTGAAAGACCAGTCTAGGTCTTTTTAGTTTTTTCGTAGATACCATGGGAATTAGGGAGCTTCGATTAAGTCTTCAATCTGGACCTTTAATCATTATATATTGATAGATAGACAGAGACATATAATTGTCCCATAAAAGATTCTGCCAAATATGTTCCATTTACTGTTTGTTCTGCATATAGCGAAGCCTATGGAAACGATTACTGCAGTAGAAGACACAAAGAACATTACACATTTACATAAACTAACAAAATCTTAATGCCACATGATTTACATTTCTCATACGGAATGGCTGTCAAAATACCATTAAAGCATTGTCAAAGTAGAAATTGAAATTGCACTGACATACAATGCATTATCTGTACAAAATCTGCACCAGTTTCTTTTCATCATAGGGATCCGAAGCCTCTTGCTTTTTACCATTAGCGAGACAGACTGCCATGTCCATCCTGGATCCTGCCCAGCCATCATTGTAACTCATCCATAGTAGTCAAAAAGTATAGCCAGGGTATGTACCCTATTAAATTAATAACATAAAATAATAAGTATCATTGATATTTCACCTAGGCTGAGCATATTATTATAACATTTCCAGAGAATCTAATTTTTCTAACATCCACCAGTTTGACAACAAAGGTTTAATGTCAATTTACACCTGCTCTACTGCGTTATACCATTATTTTAACAGCAAACAGAACCATAACCTTATAATTCAAATCGATTTATTTACAGCTACTAAATTTTGTTCAATACAGCGTCCCTGTAATTTCTCGTATTTTTTTTTTTTTTTTTAAAGGACAGAAAATCACGTAAAGTGATTGATATAGATAAAGGTATTTAATTAAGACAACATGCAAGAAGAGAGTCAATTCTAATGTTTTGTTCAATTCAATTTCCTGCTGTGAGTGTTATCTCCTCTTAGTAAGTTTAATAAGCAATTTCAGCCAGCAGCCTGCCAATATAGAAAATGGGGGTGGTGCGGAGAATGGTATTGTATTTAAACTGAGCATTTAATTAAATGTACAATCCATGTTGGAACAAAGATTTGATCCACATTTTAATGCACGAAAAAAATTACTTTTAAAACCCCTGCTGTGGCTATAAATCCATAGGCAACAAAGGTTCTATAAATCGGGAGCTTCGGATTCTGGTTTATATGGAGTGATCTTATCCCATAATCACCTGGCCAGCACGGGTTTCTTTGTTATATACATACATCAGCCTCAGCAGAGGTTCCACTTATCAAATCTAATGAGAGCAACTGCCAGTCAAGCTGAATGCAGCCATACCGTGGCTTCAGCCTATAAACATCACTATTAATAGTTTTATAATTGTGCACATCAACGTGGTCTGTAAAGGTCTCCAATCTCACATTAGACAGGGGATGTATGAACTTGAGCAATGTGTACTTAGTGAACAAATATTTGTACTGCCATTGGACATAATACAGAACCCTCGTCTGATAACCAAGTAAAAAGGAGTTGGCTTATAGCTGCAATGATTTTTGCAAGTTGCTACTGTTCTAGACATTTATGTACAAGGAGAACGGTACAGGGGACTTTCTCAAACCAAATCCTTTGCAACAAGCCTGGGCTGTCATGATGCTTGGAAAATCCTTTTAAATTACCATAAAAAGTACTTTTGTATTGTATTGGGTGGTGTTGTTATTTTCCTCAGAATCTTAACTTTTAAACAATGAAGGTGTCCCTTTGTCTTAATAGTAGAGTAGCTGATACCTTGTGAAAAAAATGTTAGCAAACATGTGCCCCAAATTGCTTGGATTATCCTTTAGCGCCAATAATGAAAAGAAAACTATTAACAGCCAGTGTGATGGGTGCGGCTAGCAATTTAAAATTATAGGCTTACCACACCTAACTCATGTGAATGCTTAAACTGAAATCTGAAAAGAATTTTAATGAGGATTTTCTACATGCAAAATATAAGACATTCCAATATAACCTGGGTGAAAGATGTAGCAACACACTGTATATAAAGGAGCAGAAATCTAATTTTCTGAAATTGAGCAATGGCTAAAATGTAAACTTACTCTAGGGTCATAAATCATAAATTGCATCCTCCTTAAAGGAAAGCAAGTGAATAATGAACTGCATGTAAAATAAGAAAACATTTAGTATGAGGGGGGATTTATGTGTGGTTCTTTGAATCTCACCAGGCCGCTTAAGTAGCCTCTCATGCAATCTCTTAAAGGGACACAATGGGCACCATAACCACCACAGTGTGCTCACCTTGCCGTGTTGGGTGCCAGGTTTCCTGCTCTAAGATGGTCTGATAAAGCAGCCATAAGTTAACACTGGCAAACACCACATTCTCATATCTAACTAAAAGTTAGCCATTAGTTTTTCTTTATAAAAAAAAAAAATGTTATTCAATGTGAGGCTGCCACAACACAGCCTCACATATGATACAATTTCAAGATGTCCCACTGCTTCCTGTTCCATGACTACATGTTCACAC